ACTCCGTTAACAGGTGGGAGGGGCTAACTCCTTTTGTAGACGTATGTGACGTATGTAATGAGCCCAAGTGATTCGTTAGCATTTAGCATTTAGCCTAGCTTTTCCAAGCGATGGTAACATCCGGAAATAGGAACATGAAAAGCTTGAGAAATACCAAGGTCTCAGAGAGGAGCTGGAGAGGGCCTGGAGGGTAAAGGTCACAGTAGTGCCCGTGGTGATCGGTGCACTCGGGGCAGTGACCCCCAAGCTAGAAGAGGTTACAGCGGATCCCCGGAACAACCTCGGACATCTGGGTCCAGAAATGTGCAGTGCTAGGAACAGCAAAGATACTGTGCAGAACCCTCAAGCTCCCAGGCCTCTGGTTGAGGACCCGAGCTTAGAGAGGGATAACCGCCCACGGAGGGCGACACCTTTGGCCCTCCGTGGGCGGTTATCCCTCTCTAAGCTCGGGTCCTGGGAGCTTGAGGGTTCTGCGCAGTATCTTTGCCATCTCCTTTGCCGCTAACGGAGCCCGTGGGGAGTAGCGCCACAATCTTTGCAGCGATTACATTTGTTAAACATTCCTCTTGCTCCGGCTTCAGTTTCTTGATAGAACCAGACCGAATTACTTTACCATCGTATTCTTCGCCAAACTATAACCTGCCCGTTCGGCGCAAACTCTTGACGTCATCCACATCTAACTACAACACCCGCCTCCCGCGCTCTCTGATTGGTCGGATGGAATTAAACTGATTGTAATCGCAGACACAGGGACCAGACCCAGACGTTACAGGCAGGACATGATGATTGACAGGAGAGTACGGATGGATAAGAACAGGCTACCTCTAAACATTTTAGAATTTAGAATTAGGATTAAGATAAGATCAGATAAACTTAATTGTCCCAAGGGGAATTTGCAGTGGGATTCAGTGCTTCACAGATCTGCACGAATCTAATATCAATAAAAACTATTACAGGACAAAACACAGACAGGAGAGCCGTAGTGGTCTGAAGTCTCTGTTTGGTCCAAAGTCATCGGTCCTGGATAAAAAACTGACATAGTTCATTTTTAGTTATTTTTATTATCGCTTCAGTTTACGTGAAGGTTTAACGACAGAAGAACAAAGTGTGGACCTTTAACGATCCTGTATCATCAATCATGGTCTGCATTTATTTATTATGTCAGTTGTGGACATGACATTAGACATATTATAATTACATTTCAAATAATTGTCGCCCTGTCACAAAAAGAAAGTAGTCGAAAGATGACCCTTTCTAATCCGACCTAATTTGATTTGTTTAATTATTATTTTAAATGATTAAAAAGTGGAGGCGACAGTAGCTCAGTTGGTAGAGCATTGGCCTTTGAGCCTGAAGGTCGTGGGTTCGAGCCCACCACAAGACCTACTTCATGACACCCACTGATGACTACTGTCGTTGTGTCCTTGGGCAAGACACTTAACCCCACTTTGCCTGAAGCCCCCACTGACAGATCTCAGCTCCTGTGGACTCAGCACCTGCAGGAGGATCAGTGAGGGGCTGGTGCTCTGACTGCCACCCCCGACCCAGACATGGATTAAGGGGAAGAAACTGGATGGATGATTTCCTTGTTCTTACTTTGAGTTTTCTCCTAAACAAGTGGATGTCGGCTGCTTTGTTTTTCATAAACTCTGATGTTCCGTGGTTCTTGCTGCGTCTGCTGCTGTTGGGTTTAAGAGAGAAAAGTTTGTATGTATTATGATATATTACAGACAGAGTGGAACAGTAAAATACAACATGTGAAGTTATAACAACAGGTAGACGTAGTTTGATAAAAGTGGGTTTAAGAAGTGATGGAGGGTTATGTCTGGTCTAAACAGTGAAAAAAATCCACACATCTACAGGTATTTTTATTTTCTCCACTGTTTTCACGTTTTGCACAAATTTATCCAACACGCCAGACGACAGGGCCTTATTTGGAACCTTCCCCCGTCCTTCTCAGAGCCCGGTGTGCGGTGGACATGTGGTCCACACTTCCAGGATGCAGCAGTAAAAAACACACAGAGCTGGTGCTTCCAGGTGGAGCGTGGATTCCCCTGTGATGTGACCGGGTCCTGAACCCCTCTGACCGGGTCTTGAACCCCGCTGCCCTCTCTTGCGTACGAAGCGTTTACCGAGCGCTGGATTCAGTGTTTACGTCTCTGCTCAGGGAGAGAAGCACCTCGTAATGCTCCATCACAGCAGGAGGCCACATCTACAGGAGGAGAGACAGGCTCAGGGGGTCACAGGCGAGATACGAATGTTGGACCCAAAGGTTACGATGGTTTTTATATATGTGTGTTTATGTTTATATGTGTGATCTGAACTTTACATTTCTTTATTTTCTCTTTTATATTCTTCACGTTGTGCTTGTCGGCTTATTGATTGTACTGATGCCTAACTGTGTGTTTGTGTGTTTCTACTTGTGTGTTTGTCCTACAGTCCAAGCTCTGCTTCTGTTTAGTAAATGTCATTGAAGCAAAGATGTTGTGGCTCTACTCCCCACGGGCTCCGTTAGTGGCAAAGGAGATGGCTAAAGCTAGGCTACATGCTAAAGCTAGGCTAAATACTAAATGCCTCACTCACTCGGGCTCATTACATACGTCACTCAGATCCAATGGTTTCAATCTGCAAAAGGAGTTAGCCCCTCCCACCTGTTAACGGAGTCAATGGAGACAATCCAGACCTTACGACATGAAATTTGAACTGTGGTGCGGTAAGACCAGGCTAGATTTGACATGCTGGTACTGAACAACTGCCTCAGGCTCAATCTCCACCTCTGCTTCTGTGTGCTGTGAGTCCTCAGCAAGACGCCCCCTGCAGGCCATCATTGGAACTCCAAGATAACCTTTGATAACATGCACAGACGTGACCAGACGTGACCAGACGTGACCAGACGTGACCAGACGTGACCAGACGTGACCAGACGTGACCAGACGTGAGGAGATACGTATATGACGCCACTGTTATAAGTTTATTTGTTAACTTTTACCTACATCAACAACTGTTCTGGAAAGTTAGTGCTTTGTCCAATTAACACGATACAAATGGGACAAAAACACTCGGAGAGAATGTGATGCAAACAAAGAGCTCCCACTAACAACATATAAAATAGTTGTGTTTGAGAAAGAGGAGGATGGAGCGAGGAAGGCACAGCAGACGGAAGTCACACTTGTGAAGTTGGAGGTGTGAAGGAAAGCGACATTTTAAGGCAGCTTTTTGGACTGCTGTTTTAAAACCCATCAATGTGCTGCTTAACTCTTTCACCGCCACATGCTCGTGCTGTTTTTCTGACACTTCTGCAGCTAAAATATTGTCCTCGCACCGCAGATATTTCAGAGTGTCCAAAACAGCAGGGAAATCGCTTACTAAGTGCGATCAAAGTAGTAAAAAAAAAGCCTCGCTAATTGTTAACCTGATAAAACGTGGCACTTTCCACATTTCGATGATAATGCGTGTGCACCTCCACGTCACATTTTCTGACTCACTGCCACCTTTTCTACTTGTAAAATCCCGAGTCGCTCGGAGCATCTGAAAAAATGTTACACATACATACATAAGCCTTTTGAAGTGTGAGACTCCCATGTTGGCACCGGGATCCATCTGTGAAGAAAGAGAAATGCTTTTCCTTCAAAGTCAGCACAAAATATTCATAAATGTAAACAGGAAGTGAGTTCTGGTATCAGAACATTTAAGACTCTTATGGTCTCATCTTTCAAGTGTAATCGATATGTCAACGTTTCAGAAATTACATAATTAGTATTTATGAGACCACATTTATAATCAAATTAGATACATTAGGGCCAAAACGTTAACCTGTGAATAATAACACAATGAGCATGTGCATAAAAATGCTTATTCAGCAGTTAAACCACACACCAGAGCAGGGGTCTGGGGGGGTCTGGGAGGGTCTGGGGGGCTGTTGTCCTTGCCCTGTGCCCTGTGGACTCATGCCCAGGACAATGCCCTCTCTAAGGCCAAAGCTGCCCAATGGTCCATTTAATCATATGCAGCGCTGCGAGGAAGCTTATGTTCGCCCTATGCCAGTCTGTCAGCGGGACCTCAGACTGGCCCAGGATCAGACCTTGGTCTGAGGTGGGATCTCAGTGAGTCTGGACTCTGCAGAGCCGTCACATCCATCTCTGTGTGGGTGTCTTTTCTACAGTTGAAACGCCCTTGGTTAAGAATAGAGAGTTAGATGTTCATATACTTATTAATAACAGTGTAACTGTGAAGTGGACACACCTTTAAAAATAAGACTTCCTTATTCGACAAACGGCCGCGTGGAGAAAGTCCGTCTCTGGCACTAAAACCATCATAGAATTTATCACGGCTCTGAAATAGATCAACGTTCTCTGCAAACGTTTGATGCTCTGAAGACATTTCATTTGTTTGTGATGAAACGGTGTCAGTGCTGAAGTTTTACAGCAGAGAAACAGAGCTTTATCTGCACAAAAGAGCAGCTCCAGAGCTCAGGGGCCTCTGGCCCACTCTGACCTTTGACAAGTCTGTGCTGTTTGTCACCTCACACACACACACGCACACACACACACATACTGACATGCCCTGTCCACCGCACACACACACACACACACACACACACTCACACACACACACTGACATGCCCTGTCCACCGCACACACACACACACACTCTCACTAACATGCCCTGTCCACCGCACACACACACACACACACACTCTCACTAACATGCCCTGTCCACCGCACACACACACACACACAAACACACACACACACACTCACACACACATGTCCGTATCCGCCTCTGCTGTCGCTTCAATTAAAATCCTAATGGCTGTTTTAGCGCTCTGCCACATTGACCACGCATCACGACGGCGCCTGATCCCTCTGAAAGAACAGATCCTGGATCAGAGTCACTGATCATTTCATCACAGCAGAGGTTTTTTCATCCTTCACACACGGAGGACCCAAAGGGGTGGTCCCGGTCGGGGCACACAGCTGCACGGGTCACACCTCAGTGACATGAAGCCGCCCGACTGTCACCTCACATCCACAGCGCCTCAGAGCCACGAGGAGGTGACGACCAAAACGCTTCGGACACCGCTGGCTCTGAGCCAAACCCACGTTTCTTAAATATTTCTCCTGAAAATGTTTCTTGACACGCTCCAGTCTCTACGTGAACTTTTATACTTTATGAAACGCTAACCTTTAGATTAAAAGGATACGAGCCTCTTATTGCTGAAGTTTGGTGAATAGTGACAGTTAGATACAGTCACTGTCTCAGAGATAAATGCCACAGCGCTCCAATAATGATCCCAAAACAGATTTAATGAAGGTACTCAAGACACACACAAGACACACACAAAACACACACAAAACACACTCCAATCTCAGGCGTCACACCCTCAGAACCAACGCTCTCTCACAGAAGCACGAGCTCAGTCACACGTGTGGCTCTGGAATCACACCTGACATTCAGCGGCTTTAGGTTAGACACACACACGGGGAGAGACACACACACACACACACATGGGGAGAGAGACACACACATATGGGGGAGAGGCACACAGACACGGAGAGAAAGACACACACACACGGGGAGAGAAACACACGCACACACACACACACAGGGAGAGACACACACACACACACGGGGAGAGACACACACGGGGAGAGACACACACACACGGGGAGAGACACACACACACACACGGGGAGAGACACACACCCACACATGGGGAGAGACACACACACACGGGGAGAGAGACACACACATATGTGGAGAGAGAAACACACACATAGGAAGAGAGAAACACACACGGGGCAAGAGACACACGTATGGAGAGAAAACACACACACACACACACACATATACACAAAAATACACGCACACACACACACACATATATGGGGGGTATGGTGTCTCCTCTCATCATAATAAACATGACTTTAGTTTATCTATTTTTAGGTCTGGGACTTTAACGCGTAAATTAATATGAAAGAATTACACAAAAATGAGCACGTTTAAAAAATTGACGCATTTTAATCGTCCCTGTTTGCAACGCGGAACGTTTCTCACTGGATGAGTTTCAGACGGACCGATTGCACTGGAGCACCGCGTCACTTCCGGCTTGTTCTCTGCAGATCTGACCTGAACCTCCCAAAGACAGACTCAGAGAAACACTGTTCTCACTGACTGTGCAAAGTGTGTAAAGTTAGTGTCTGTGTTTGGTGATACACACGCTGCTGCAGCTGCACTGGCTGGGGTTTCGA